AAACACAATGGATTTGAAAGTTGTGGAATACTTTTTTGGAATGACTGAAACTTAAGCTTATTGTTAGTTACATAAGTTTAAAAAATATATAAGGGGAGTAGCCTAAAGCATGCAGAGATAGTGCACCCTGAGCCTTATGTGCTGGGCATAATACACCCCTGGTTAGGAGCTAAGTAAGTTGGTTATTGCCTTCCTAAACTTTGGTGGCTTACATGTCAGGATTTCAAATAACTAGGTTCATTTGGAAGATTTTTGTAAGTTGCTAATGCAAGCATGACTTATGCAAAAACTTCCTGTATCCAGCACTGAGGTCCATCTAATCACAGTCTCCCCTCCCCAGCGCTCCCTTTTCCCTTCATTCTTAACAGTCTGGTTCAGAGGTTCCCTTTTCCCTACGTGACTCTTTCCCCTTACGTTAAGGAAATGGATTGCTCCCTCCTCTCTATTCCAAGAGCATAGCTAACACCTCTGACAGCAATTTGCTTCTCTGTGGCATAGCTACCTGCATATTGCTTATGAATCATTCCACTTCTTATATGGCAGTGGTGGTTTGCCCAGGCCTGACGCCCAGCGGAGCCTCCAGCACCAATAAAGTATTCACTTCATATTGGTCTGATGTTTTTTTTTACTTTGGGTGCTGCTTCTTTGTTGATTATAGCAGATGTAGACTTGCATTACACACTACAATCGAAGTTATGCTATAAACTGCTGCTGCTATTAAATGCTTTTAAACTGCCCATTTAACTCTATTTTAAAGCATTTTATTGGTCTTAGGTTTTTGATTGCAGGTTGAGTCAATAAGCTAGAGCTAGGGGGGAAAATTAAATATATTCAGCAACATTATTTTTATCTAATATATCTTTCATAATAAGAATGCTACATCCCCAAAAGGGAATCTTCTGCCCAACTTATTTTTTGATCTCTATGTTCATATTTAGCAAAATACTAATTGTCACTGCATTTGAAAAAAAAAATGTCTTCTTTCCTTTTAGACTAAATGACTACAACACCGGTGGTTAGTCTAGACCACCAATGTCCAATAGAAATTTAATTTCAACCACAAATGTGAGCCACATATGTAATTTAAAATATCTAGTAGCCTCATATAAAAATATGAAAAGCAACAGGTGAAATTAATTTAAACAATATATTTTATTCAATCCAGTACATCCAAATAGTATCATTTCAACACATAATCAATATATATTGATGTGATCCTCACTTTCATTTCTTTATTAAACCCTCAAAATCCAGTGTGAATTTTACAGTAGTTGCATTTCTCAGTTCAAACTTAAGTGGCTACTCATTTTCATAGGATGGTGAAGTTCTGGGCTAGTAGCATTCTTTGACTTTTATCTGTGTGCCCCATGCTTTATGTGCATTCTTTCAATCAGTTCTGGCAACTATAATACTATGCAGTTAGTACTATGGGATCATTTTACAGATTATAGCGAGTTTGTTATTTAACTGAGGTTATTTGCCTGTGAACATCTATTGGTTGGGTGGAGCTGGGACTGGACAATAGAACTTTGACTTTCAAAATACACACTGTATGAAAACAAAAGGCAGAAGAGGAGGCAGTAAGGCAGTAAGGCAAGATGTCTCAGAGTAGACACAGGAGTTGGACTGGTTAACAGCAGGTCACAAGGTATCTGGAAACCTTTTGAAGCAAAATGATACGGAGGAAAGAAACAGGATTGCTGTACCCAGTAAGACTGCCATCCACATCCCTCAGAGTCCATTTCTTCCCTACCTCTGTGTTTGTTTGGCAACCTTTGGTTGCCACATACTTAGCACAGAGTGACTTCTACACCTTCTATTTTAAATTTCCATCTGCTACACGAACTTTGGGTAAAAGTATGTTATGGTGATGGTATGAATTAAGTGTAGAGTCTCTGAGCCATCCTGATGCCATGGCTTTGTTATAAAGGTCTGTAAAATATTATCCTGGTGTCATGGATTATACAAATGTGCACAAATGGAAGTTTCCTCCTTTTCCTTCACACAGTGTTAAAAATGAGTAAAATATGTTTCCCATTGCACTTCTCTTGAGCTTGAGGACTCAATGAAATCAATTTTTAAGTTTCCACATCTTTATGAAAATGTTTTGTTTTTACTGAAATATGTTTTTGATCAAGAACATAATTTCATGATTGCATGTAGGTTTCTGAAACAAATATATATATACGGAGCAAGTGCATAGAGAAGAGCTCGGTCTCTAGGGGCCAATCCCAGGGCTGGGGGTTCGTCAGTCTAACCTCAGGCTCAAGGCTCACCACTAACTCATTAGGTCTAAGAGAAGGAACTAGCTTCTGTCTATACTATGATCTTGAGCTGTTACTCTCATTTCTGAATTTGAAGATACAATTGACTGATTTCATTCATTTTGACAAATTCTATAGAAATAATGCTACTCTTAAAAATTCCTGGAAATCTCAGAAGTTACAAACAAGTTCTACAACAACATTAATTCTTTTGAATGTGTGATGCACTTTTTCAAGTATATTATAGAAATATTAGAATATAAGGCCAGGTTACCCACCCTCATATTGCCCCTGAACTTTGTGAGACAAGTAGGTAAGACAAGTAGTAGTCTCTGTAATGTTAAAACCAGCATTGATAACAATGATAATTTATATTTTGAAGAAGTTTACTGGACCCTTTATGAACTGCTATGCATACATCTCATCTAATTCTGATGACAAAATATGTTCATATTATTTCCATTGTTTGAATGAGAGCACTAATTTACCCAGTTACCCTTAGTAAGTGGCTGAGTCAGGACTTGGACCAAATTTAATTAATCTAATTCCACACTTGCTTATAACCAATAGGTTATACATTGTCTCAGAAGTAACAAACACAAAATGTTCTGAATTTGTAGGAATAGTTCTTTGTAGTCTCAGTTCTGTGTAGCCTCATCACTAAAAGGGACATCTCTCATCCCTCAGGTCACAAAGTTACCATTGTGTTAGCACTTTCACACATTTTTGTTGCTGGTAAAGGAAAGAACATATTAGTGAAAACGACTGATCCTTGCTTTAATCTTTTTCCAGCTTTTATACTTACTCCTGTTATCATTTTATTTTCATTTAATTGAGATGAAACTCACGTAATGTAAAACCATTTTGAAGTGAATTATTTAGTGGTGTTTGATATCATCACAATTTGTACAATCCCCAATTCCATTTGGTCCCAAAGTGTTTCCATTATTCTAAAAAAAAAAAAGCCTTTACCATTCAGTATTCTCTCCTATTCCCTTATGCCTAAACCCTAATCACCAATATGAATTCTGTCTGAATGAATTTACTTATTATGGATATTTTATAAAAGTGGAATTGTGCAACATGTGACCTTTTGTAACTGGTTCCTACATAATGCATCATTTTTCCAAGTGTCATCAGCTTTGTAGCATACATCAATCCATCATTACTTTTTATGACAGAATAATGCACCATTGCTTGGATATACTAGAATTTATCTATCCATTCATCCCTTGATGGAATTTGAGCTGCTTTCATCTTTAGCTATTATAAATAGTGCTGCTATGAACATGAGTTTACATGCACTAGATTGAGTACCTGTGATTTTCTTTTGGCTATATACTTTGGAGTGAAAGTGGGATCACATGACATTTCTATGCTTAATTTTTTCAGAAACTGTCATACTGTTTTCTACAGCAACTAAATCATCTTACATCTCAACTAGAAATATAAAAGGATTCCAATATGTTCACATCTTGCTAACACTTGTTTGTGTTTTTTACTATTGTAGCCAGCCTATTATGCACCTCATTGTGGTTTTTATTTACAATTTATTAATGCCCAATGATGTTGATAATCTTTTTATGAGCTTACTGGCCCTCTGTGCTTTTTTTTTTTTTTTTTTTTCTTCCGGACTTGGGTTCCGGGCGAGTTATGCGGAGGGTGAGAGGATTCACCAGAGACAGAGCGGGGAGCAGAACAGGCAGATCGACGAAGCACACTGCTGAGGGGGGCAGCAGGCCGGTCAGGAGAGGTCTGCCACGCCATATGGTCACCTCCGGGGCAGGCGGGGATCGAACTCATGTGGAAGTGGCTTAAGCTTCTTAGTTCTGTGCTTTAACCCGCTGCGCCACCAGGAAGGGCCCCCTCTGTGCTTTTTTGTTGGAAGGGGTCTGTTCAATTTTTTGCCCAGTTTTCCTTGGTTTGTTAGTGTCTGTTGACAGTGGTAACAGTTACTGTATATTCTGTATAATAAATACTATCAGGTATATGATTTAAAAATATTTTCTTCAAAATAACCTTGGAGGTAGGAAGAGTTGATATAGAAAAAAAAAAAAAGTAGACAGTACAAGATGGAAATTGCTTTTCAGAAATACAGAAGTGCTTTTTCCATTAAGGGTACTATCAACAGCCACTGAGGAGAAAAGAGTAGTTCGGAAGTCAGAATTATTGCTGATTTTTGGATTCTTAATTCATTGTTGAGAAAAGACAAGGGGTTTATAAGAGAAAGAGAAGTTCCCCATAGGTACAGTAAAGGAGGAAGATAATCACCAAAAGGTCGATATTGAAGAATTAAATTCTGTCTTGGATGATGTGTTTCCAGCACTATAACAGGTTTTGTGGAGCAAGCATGAGAAAATGGGGTGACTTGGTTTCTGTCCTGGATTTCTTTCTATTGTTTTCATTAAATTCATTTGACAGACATTTAAAAATATATATTTTCTTCATCCTGTGGGTTAAACAGACCTTCTTAATAATGTCCTTAGTTTTTAATTTCAATGATATCCATTTTGCCTGTTTTATCAATATTTTATCTATTTTTTTGTCTTTTTTGCTTTCAGTTTGGGTGTTATAATTTGTCATGGTCATGAATTTTTTACCCCATATTTTCTTCTAAGAATTTTATTACTTTAGCTCTTATATTTGAATCATTAATTCATTTTGAGTTAATTTTATAGATGGTGTGTAATAAGGATCTCATTGCTGCATTTTATTCCTCTTTTGTTTCCTTCCTAGGAATTCTGGAAAGTAAGGGACTGCATATTTTTAACCTGACTTCTCTAACCAAGTCTGAAAATATTTTATCTGCCACACTGTATTTCTATATTGGAGAGTTAATCAACATCACCCTAAGTTGTCCATTGTCTCGAGGATGTTCACATCATGCTCAGAGGAAACACTTTCAGATTGATCTTTCTGCATGGACCCTGAAATCCAACAGAAACCTAAGTCAACTCCTGGGTCACCTTTCCGTAGATGTACCCAAACCTCATCGAGATGTGGTGTCCTGGCTATCTAAAGACATCACTCAACTCTTGAGGAAAGCCAAGGAAAATGAGGAATTTCTTATAGGATTTAACATTACCACCAAAGGACACCAGTTGCCAAAGAAAATGTTATCCTTTCCTGAGCCTTATATCTTGGTGTATGCCAACGATGCTGCCATTTCTGAGCCAGAGAGTGTTGTATCAAGCTTACAAAGACACCGGAATTTCCCCACTGGAGCTGTGCCCAAACTGGAAAGCCATATCCGGGCTGCCCTTTCTATGGAACGGAGGAAGAAACGCTCTACTGGGGTCCTACTGCCTCTGCAGAACAATGAGCTTCCTGGTGCAGAATATCAGTATAAGGAGGAAGGAGTGTGGGAGGAGAGAAAACCTTATAAGACCCTTCAGACTCAGCCCCCTGAGAAGAATAAGAATAAAAAGAAACAGAGAAAGGCACCTCACCAGAAGAGCCCAACACTCCAATTCGATGAACAGACCCTGAAGAAGGCAAGAAGAAAGCAATGGATTGAGCCTCGGAATTGTGCCAGAAGATACCTGAAGGTGGACTTTGCAGATATTGGCTGGAGTGAATGGATTATCTCCCCCAAGTCCTTTGATGCATATTATTGCTCTGGAGCATGCCAGTTCCCGATGCCAAAGGTAGCCATTGTTCTTTGTCCTGTTCTTCCTGTTTCCATTAGAGTAGAAAGACACCCTGCATGAGTTGAGTGTGTGTTTTCATTTGCCAGACCCATCTGGACCCTGATTTATTGCATTCTAAAGTATAGTAGGTAATATGGTTATGTTTGGTTTTTCTTTAATGGTTGTTAAAGTATTATGAAATCAGCATTGCTAGGAGAAGGATATGAGAAAAATTGTGTGTGAAATATGCTTTTTTGCTTTGCTTCCAAACAAGGTACATATTCAGCTACTTGGGTACATGTGATTTTATGCCTATCCACGGTAGGTAAACCCCACATAATAGAAAGTGATCATTCAGAGGGAATAAATGGATATCCTGGGAGAAAGGGGAAGCACTCTTGGGCTTAGGGAAGTACCCTGGTCTAGACTATTTTTTTTTTTTAAAGATTTATTTATTTGTACATACAGAACTGGGGTACAGGCCAGAGACTCAGGGGCAGTGAGAGACTTCACCAGAGACAGAGTGGGGAGCAGAACAGGCAGATCAACAAAGTACACTGCTGAGGGGAGCAGTGGGCGGGTCAGGAGAGGTCTGCCACACCATGTGGTTTCCTCTGGGGGCAGGCGGGGATCGAACTCATGCGGAAGTGGCTTTAGCTTCTCAGTGCAGTGCTTTAACCCGCTGCGCCACCAGGGAGGGCCGGTCTAGACTATTTTTTTGATCACTAACTCCTTGTAAAATGAATTAGCCCAATGAGAGCCAGAATCCAAGTTGGGCCAGGTAAGTTGCTTCATGAAATTGACCAGATACTCATTTCACTTGTTTCCCTGTTGAACATCAAAAAGGAAGGCAAACGAGAATAGGATGATTCCTTGAACTTCCTCCAAGACCCATTTCAACCTGGTAGAGGTTACCTGTGTCTCTTGCAAAATCAAGAGCACTGTACTTTTTTATATCAGTACACAGAATCCTAACAAATATTTTTTTCAGAAGCCTCCCCAAGTCCTAACTCTGTCTTGCACAGTAAGTCCAAGTGTAATATTCTCGTTGAATTTAAAGTTAGTAAAACATAGTGATGTCCTCTGATCTTCTGACAAGCTTATTACTACACTTCTATTCTCAGTTTGTGAGAGTTTTAGTTGCTGTGATAAATGAAAAGTGGCTTTAGCAAAATAATTCAGCGAAAGAACAGAGTGGTGGTTTTTATTTTTGAGAATCTAAAGTGAATCAAATGATGCTGTTTTATGATAATGGGAGGGGGGGAAAGACCTTTGCCTCAGGGAGTGACCAACATCTGTAGAGCTTTAAAATAGCATGTTCATGTCCCTGTGGTCACTGGGACAGTAAGTGTCACACACACATAAAACAAAGGACAAGGCTAAATCAGCCTTGGAGCCAGGCACTGTATAGAAATGCCATTTTCTCATTAGCTTTCTCAGAAGGATAAGAAAATCCTCAGAGGGCCCTCCCTGGTGGTGCAGCCGGTTAAAGCACTGCATTGAGAAGCTAAAGCCACTTTCGCATGAGTTCGATTCCCGCCTGCCCCGGAGGTGACCACATGGCGCGGCAGACTTCTCCTGACCCGCCCACTGCTCCCCTCAGCAGTGTACTTCGTCGATCTGCCTGTTCTGCTCCCCACGTAGTCTCTGGTGAATACTCTCACCCTCCACATCTCTGGCCTGTATCCCAGTTCCATATGAATAAATAAATAAATCTTTAAAAAAAAAAAAAAAGAAAAAGAAAAGAAAATCCTCAGAGGGCTTTTCTAAGAACTTCTCTTTCCAGAAACGTTTGCTGATTCCATATTTTATAAACCCAGACACAAGTAAGGCTTATATATGTTTACAATTCTATAAAATCCTTATCTCATTTAAATATTCATTCTACTGATCAAATAAAAGTTGTTTAAATTGGATCAGTCTGTGAAAACACACAAGATGCCAAATGACAGGCAGTGATGAATCCTTATTTTACAGCGTCACCTGCTTTGTGGTATGCAGAAGCAGAAATGGATTCTAAATCTCTCTCTACCCATGAGTGATTTTAAGTGTGTCTTAGCCTTCCAAATAATTCTTCTCACTTTCCTAAAGTGTAATTTCTTCCAGGTAGCCTGGGAAGGCAGTTTTTCTCTTTCCTTCTGACTCTGGATTTCAGAACTCAGAAGATTAAGCAAATGTGGAGATAGCTGATTAGCTTCCCATCTCCTGACTTATGAGGCCTGGCCTGGTTTTCAGCTCTCCACAGTATACCAACGGATTCCTCCTACTCCAGTTGATTTTCAATGTTCAAGACCTTGCTGTTGCTTCAGTAGATCTTCAAGGTTCTCAGAGACCTAAAGAATAACAATTTTTAAAATTCATAGGGTAACAAGAATAGCAGAGACGTTTAAGGAGAGAAGTGTGTCAATTCAGCAGATTGACATTCTTTGGTGGGCTTCAAACCTTGATGTGTCTGCACTTTGTCCTAGGACCTTGTTCATGTGTAGGTGGTCCTGCAGCAGCTCTGCATTCTAAAATCCTGCATCACTAACAAGCTCCTAGGTGGTGTTGTTGCTACTGGTCCATAAAGCTCACTTTGAGTAGCAAAATCAAGCATCAAATCCTTTCGGCTTGAATTTTTCTCCTATCTCTTATAAAATGCACTAGGTAAAAACCAAATTTCATGTTATAATTTTTGCCCTTGTAGAGGGCACTATAGGGAATTTAAAAATAATGATATTTCTGCGATAAAAACAGTGGGAGAATGAGTTAGTAAGGCAGCTTGCAAGCAGTGGGTAATAAATTTGCTATTGACATTATTTTTTAAAACAATTATTTATGCATTAAGAACTGGGATAAAAGCCAGAGGGGCTGGAGTTTAAGAGGATTCACAAGAGACAGTGGGGAGCAGAAGAGGCAGATGGACTGAAACACATTGCTGAGGGAGCAGCGGGTAAGACAGGAGAGATCTGTTGGGTCATGTGGGTCAGCTCCCCAGCCAGGATTGAACTCATGCTGTAGTGGCTGCGTGTAGCTTCATAGGGCAGAGACTTAACTCCTTGTGTCACCAGGGAGACCCTACTGAAATTATTATTAATGGTCACTTGGAGACTGAGAATAGAAGAGTTAAGTGTGGAGTGGGGGAAGGAAGGGGGAACTGTTCACACAGGATCCAGAAAATAAAAGATGTAAGACTAGAAAAAGTTTATGAATATTTCTGATCACTTTTTAAATACCACAAAGCCTAAAATAGGAGTCTCTCTTCAGGTTCAAGGACCCATAAGTTCTTCCAGTAAAGTTTCACTGGAGAGTAATGTAATCGGAGAGCATTGGTTGTAGCAAAGAACTCATCATCATACTTGTCAAAACTTGGAATGGCATCAGAACTCCAGGGAGACATAACAAGGATAAGTGTGGAGTTTTCTCTCTGAGCAGAGATTTCCCAGTGCCAAGTTGAGAGTGGAAGTTTGGCTGTTACATAGAGTCCTCAGTCTCTCATCACCTTGTGTGGATCTGTTTAACTTTTTTTTTTAAGATTTATTTATTTGTGCATACATAACTGGGGTACAGGCCAGAGGTGCAGGGGTGGTGAGAGGATTCACCAGACAGAGCCCGGAGCAGAGCAGGCTGACTGAGGAAGTACACTGCTGAGGGGAGCAGCAGCCGGTTGGTAGAGGTCTGTTGTGCCATGTGGGTCACCTCTGGGGTGCGGATGGAACTCATGCGGAAGTGAGCGGAAGTGGCTTTAGCTTCTTAGTGCTGTGCTTTAACCCGCTGTGCCACCTGGGAGGGCCCTCTGCTTAACTTTTAAACAGTGCTTCCTTTAAGTCAGCTAAGCCTATCTCTTTCAAGCGGAACAGAGACAAAAAGAATGGGAACGTGGAGGAACATGAAGCTATTGCTGTTACAATAGGGTAACTAATGAGCATCTCTGTTATCAACGGTGGCCACTAGGGCAACGAAGGTGAAGTATTTAAGTAAAAATAAAGTCCGAGCAATGGATGATGAAAATAAGGTCTCCGACCAGATCAGTACAAACACATGTGGAATAATTGAGGCGCCAAAGAACTTTCAAACTTTAGATATACATTTTGCCCCAGAGAAAAGTTCTCCCAGGCCAGACTCCTCCTTGGCCTCCCGAGTGAAAGTCTGCTCTATACCGCGGCTGCTTCGTCTGCAAAAGTCGACAACCTGTTCTGTAATTCAGAACAGCTGCGCTCTGCCTTTCCCAAATTCCAGGCTTTGCCCTTTCACTGATTCCAATTAGATAGTTTCTGGGCTATCACACCCATGTGGGCTCGACTGGGAGAGTGTGGAGCGAAAGCCCACGGCCCGGGTCAGCAATGAGGCTCTTAGCTCATGACATACTCTCCCCAGCTAATGCATTTGTAATCAAATTCAACTCAAAGACATCATACACAGCTTGGCAGGTGTGGGCCTGACCACTGCAGATTTCATTCACAGACACGGCAGTTTGGATTTTTCTGATTTCCAGTCACTATAGCCAATCTGTTCTCCCAGGGAAAGACCCCTGGAATTCTGCCATGAGATGAAAAGTACCCACATAGCTAAAGCCAAGTCGATGTGTTTGCCTCTCCTCGCCACCTTCGCAAAGATGGAAAACAGAGATTTCGACTGAAAATGATTAAGCCATTGTTTCTGACAGACATCCAAGAGAACCAACAAGGATTAGAGGAATGAAGTTATTTTTTGCATGGAATGGTGCAAAAGCTAGGAATAGCAAAGACACAGAATTAGACACCAAAGAATATATACACTTTGCACCAAGCACCCTATACAGAGAAGAAATTCACACAATGAATTCAAAATGATACACCTTAAATTTCCTGAGTTTTCTCATCAATCTCTGTTCATGAAAGTGAATGCCTGAGTTTCTTAGGCATAAAATAACCTAAATGGATGTCGACATCAGTCATGTTTCACCGTCATTAAAAAGAGGGAGTAATGAGGCAGATAACACAGGTTTGTACTGGTCATTGAGAGCTTTCTTAAACTAGATAAAGAAACTCCTGGGAAACATGACTTGAACTCAAAAAACAGAAATTACAGATGGGTGTTATGCTTCCACTAGCAAATTACTGCATGGATCTTTTGTGCATGACATAATTATTCTTAGTAATGTCAGCTTGATCAGAGGATTCTATAAGAAGGGGGAAACTCCCTAAAAGCTGAAAAGTTCCTGATAAGAATACCAAATCAGAATCAAGGCCTACACAGGAATTCCAGTAAGCCCACCAGAGACTGGCTCATAGTTTCTGCATCTATCATTTGTGAGTTAGAACTTAAAAAAAAAAAAAAAAGACAGGAATTTTCCTAGGAAACACCCATGAATATTTTCCATATCTATGCTGGGTCATTTGCACAGATTCTTTTATTTTTTGTCTATGGGGATTATTTCCACAGAAATAGGTAAAATGGAGGGTAGTTTCTTTTTTCTTTTTTTCCTTTGGTATTTCATCCATTCAACAAGTATTTCTTCATTGCTTGGAGTGTACACTGAGAAACAGCCATGTAGACCAGGATTTATAGATGAAAGCTTACTTAAACAGATCCAATCCCTTTGAGGTTTAAATAGGAGTCATTAAAACTTCAACACAGAATAGTATCTGAAAACTTTGTAATTAAAAAAAAATCCATAGCATTTTTATCAAGACGTGTTTGTATATAGATGGTTGAATCTTAATAACTTTAAATTAATAGATAAAAATAGATGATAGCAAAAGTTCTCTTTAGAAATTGCCAAAGTTGATGAAATACCATTCCTAGCTCCCAACTTCTAGTGTGTAATACCCAGCATGGGTTGTATCAATCATGAAGATTTTATTGACATCGCAGGGCACATGATATGTGTAGGAAACAGGGTATAGGAATAGGGTACTAGAAAACATAGATTTCCTTAAAGGAAGAACACCTTGCTTTGCAAAATTACTTGAATGTTAGCTATTTTTTTTAAACATTTATTTATTTGTGCATACAGAACTGGGGTATAGGCCAGAGGTGCAGGGGTGGTGAGAGGATTCCCCAGAGACAGATCAGGGAGCAGAACAGTCAGGCTGACAATGTACTCTGCTGAGGGGAGCAGTGGGTGGGTCAGGAGAGGTCTGCCACGCCATGTGGATCACCTCCGGGCCGGGGATCAAACTCAGTCTGAAGCTAGTCAAACTAGTGCTGTGTTTTAACCTGCTGTGCCACTAGAAGGGCCCAAATGTTAGTTATTCTTTATAACATATATTGAAAGTCTCTAGGAAGGAGTGAAAAACAGTTGTTTACTACGAAGAATGACTTTTTATATATATGTGATATGCCTATTCACAATAAAGTCTAATGTATGGATGTTTTCTCATGAAAATTAAAAGGTGGCATGAGAAAAATCAGATCTGCTCCTTGACCACCAAAAAGAATCCTGTTTATTTCACAGGACTTCAGCTTTCTACATTTGCTTCTCCCTCACGTTCTAAGTATCCTTTTATCCTTTACCTTTTAGCTGGTTCTAATCTTTAACATTGAGAGTAGTAAGGAATCTGAAATTATAGCACCAATTCATTGTGGTAGAGGTGACTCTGAGCCATGAGAAACATAGCTCCAAATCTTGAAATTAAAAAGCCAGAGTTCTGGCTTAAATCCCACTCCTGAACTGATATATGATCTCTGGCAAGTTACCAAATTTCTGTTTCTAAATGTATTTCAAACAAGCCCGGTTTCACCTGCCTAAGAGAGACTTGGGGAGAACTAGTTAAAAACTGTGGCATCTCTCATTAAGTTCTCTGGCAATGCTGGAACATTCTGGGCTTGGAAAAGTGACTGTCCTTCAACCTGGAGCAGAGTTGTTCGGTATTCTATAAATAAAACCATATGTTTCATGTGAATGTAAATGGGCCTGTTTGGCATTTTCTCAGGAGCAGATTTTACTCAGGCTCTTTTGGTCAAACTTTTAACATTTATGCCATAACCTTAGGCCTCCTAGATTAATCCCAGGGGATATGACCCAGCTCAGAACACTTACTGCTGGTGGATTGAAGTCTGAACCCATGGGGTAACAGTGACCCCCAGTGGTCACTGGTATGGTCTTCTTAACCCCACTGTATGCTTCTAAAAGGAGGTGATTAATTACACAGAGAATTACCACTTAAGTTATCTTAAGAGTAGATTTTAAACAAATTAGTACCCCTTAATGGCCTGGCTTTATTTGGACAGCAAATATGTCACTGACGTATCTATCTCAGTGACAATATTTATGTTAAATAGGGTGCTTAAGGGCCCCTTATGGTACTTAAGGGCTCCTTATGGTTAAGTTTGGTTTAGGCTCCAGCACATTTTTCACTTTTGTTACAATGAAACATGCTAGATGGCTGCATTATTTAGAAATACAGAATATATTAATATTTTACTTGAGGACTGAGTTGCTTTTAATTAAGTGGTTCTTGCTTAGATAACTGGGTTTAAATCATGATACAACTTACTAGCAATTTTACTTTATTCATGTCATTTAAGGTGTAAGATGCTGTTTCATTACGTGTGTAATGTAAGAAAAGGTAGTTTGTTGCAAGGATTAAAGGGCCTGCATAAATATGCCTGGCACAAATCACACACGTAATGACAATAATTTTGGTGGTGGTGGTAACGTAAGGGTTATGACTATTTGTGCAATGATGTCAGTACTTTATTAAACTGCTAAAATGAATTCATATATATGCATTTTAACCTTGAGGAGTAAAGAGTTAAAAAGAAGTTCCACCTAATTTATGTATTCTCTCATTTCTTTTTTCTAGTCTTTGAAGCCATCAAATCATGCTACAATCCAGAGTATAGTGAGAGCTGTGGGGGTCATTCCTGGAATTCCTGAGCCTTGCTGTGTACCAGAAAAGATGTCCTCACTCAGTATTTTATTCTTCGATGAAAATAAGAATGTGGTACTTAAAGTATATCCTAACATGACAGTAGAGTCTTGTGCTTGCAGATAACCTGGCAGAGAACTCATCCAATGCTTTACTCAATCATTAGTTTATTTTTATGGACTTTTTTTTTTTTTTTTGCACTGCCAATGAGTTTCATTCCAAAAGATTTTTTATAGCCAGAAGAAAATGATCAAACAGACTGATGCTTTCCGCCAAGGAAAAGTGAACTGTATTTCTTTCTGAATGTAACAACAACAAAACCCAGATTTTAGTAAATATGGATATCTACTTCTTTTTTTAATCACATGAGAAAAATGATCACTTAAACTGTTTTTATAACTGTTAAAGAACACACTGATTTATTTTTGTAATGGGCTTTGAAAATAGATTGGAAAAACAACTTATCATTTATTTCTGCTCATAGAGTAGAAGAACTTCATATTTTAATGTAGGCTTAATTGTCTTAGATTTCTGAGTAACTCAACAAGAGCTAGATAGCTCAACCAACTTTGATGCTTATCTTGAAAAGTTTTGGGACTTGTTTACCTGTGTTTCTCCTCCACATTTCATTGTGTGAATAGTTGAGTAGAGAGTGTGTGCTGAGTGTGTTAGTGTAGCTGTCTGTGTGTATATTGCTGGATGGCTCCTCCCTCTCGAGGGAGGTTTGCTTCACGAGGTTTTATACTTCCATCTACTTCCACCTACACAGAATTCTTTGCTTTCTTTTTCTTTTTTGGCAAGCACCATTCAATACTGAGAATGTTACCAAAAAGCATAGGGCATCCCAAGAGCATATGCAGAGTTATCATTTGACCCAGCTGGTATATTGGAAATACAGTTGTTTTCTTTTCTTTAACTCCCAGAAAGGGAACTAGCAACCCAGTTTTCAAAAGCTTATATGTAATTTCTCTCCTGTGCCCTTTCTCACAAGTATTTTCATTTGTTATTTTAAACTGAGTTCAAAAATCCATACTAAATTTTTTAATTCTCTTGATATGCCTTACTTCCTGGGAAGCTTCCAGTAGACCTGAGAATCAAAATCAATGGACTATTGGAGATTTCTTCAAATGACCACATCTAAGTCCAGGCACTTTTTCACATAGATCAAGCTTTTTGGTTCAAAACTGGTATCAATCATTTAGGAGATGTCACTAAAAACTGTCCACTGAGACAGGAAGTTGAATATAGATACTTTGATTTTTCCATTTCCACTTGCCATGGTATCTCCTCTTTTGCCCTTGAAATTGTTTCAAAAATCTTTCACTCACTATATTTACATGTGTGCCAGAACTGCTTTCAGGCTATGGATCGTTGCTGATGTTTAACTGCTTTAATATTCATCTTAAGTTAATCTCCACTGATTAGAAATTACTGAACCATATCAGAAGCTGTGAAGTATCAGAAGACATGGGATTTTGTTGTGTCTCTGTCTCTCACTACTTAGGATGGGTCATCATTTAATGAATATTTATTGAGCATCTATTTTGTAAGAGACAATAAGTTAACTGGCTTTAGTGTCCTCATTGGTAAAAGGTAGAGGTAAATTAGTAAATTGGTGGAGGTTAACTTACTGAGATGGAAGGTGGTTCAGGTACTGAAAGCTTGGATTTGAAAAACTAGCTATCTCATTTGTATCCTGCATGAGTGGATGATGGTGACAGAGCTAAAAACACTGCAAGTGTGTCTGTTCATAAACCAAAGGCAAAAACATCCTACTCTTCAGTGTTAGTGAGTACAAAATTTTCTTTAATGTAAGTGGTATTTCCATGTCACTGGAAACCCATAAAAAGAAGAAAACCATGAAAAGCTCTTTTACACCTTGGAAATACAGAAAGTTTGGTCCATATAATTCAGAGAATGAGACATACCAGTTGTAAATAATTCATCAAGTTCTGGTGCCTATGTTACTATGGTTTTTACAGTTCATTTTTTATTCTGATAGCATAACATTTATGACTCAGAATGAGATAACTTTTTAAATAAATTTTAGAAAGCAAAAATTATATAATAGAAGTAAGTGAGTATGTGGTCATCATAACCTGGTTATGTTGTCTTTCAATAAAGAAAACTTTCTCATTGGCAGATTTGACAGAATTTTTAATTTAGATTTTTCTAGAGCTTTATCAACCTAAACTTCTGGCAATTCCCAGTATTCTCAAACTTTTTCTATCCAGATGCCTGTTACTTTCTAATTTGATTTGATGCCCACTTACTACAGATAAAGTCCTATATGGTCAAAAAAATCCCCTAAAAATTTCCAAATTGAAATTAAGATTTTCAGTAGTAATTTATATGTCAAACTTATTACACAAAGAAAGAGCCCAGCTAGTTCCTTAGCCATCGAACTAGTTTTGGGCCTATAATTATTTCTAGAAGGTCTTGTAACCATCAATTCACAAATGTGTTACGGATATATTATAGTATAAATGAGAAATGTCTAATTCCCATATAATAAAGAGGTTACTGTTCACTTATGGATTAGCATCACTTATGTAGTAGCCTACAGTGAGTAATACATTAATAAGTACAAATTTATAGAAAATAGTCAGAAAATCGAACAACTTTAATAATTTCCTAGGTATTAATGTTTTCATAATTGCTATGAAGTGACTGGTGAGAACAGAAGTTCTAAGTGCCATTTCCCAAGCTATGCATCTCTTACTTACTTCTTTCCTGCCCCTCCACTCTTGCCATCATTCTCCGTTCCCGTTCCTAAATGTGAGGACAAAAGCACCATCACATAAAAAATGAATTGTTTTTCAATAACTGTTCTCTCAATTTCAAATTCAGGAGCTGCTGTTGTCAATATAGAATTTTTTTATGTCAGTTAGTATTTTAGTGTAATCTTTGTAAATAATATGCAATTTGTAGGATTTGGGGTTGAAGAATTTAAACTGGAAGATTGGATTTCCCCATACCTCTTGATAGCAATATTCCAGATAAACTTTTATACCCACCTAGCTGTAGATTAACTGATGATCATTTATTTACTAAGATCTTTACCTTAATGTTTCTGTTGACCATTTAACATTTTCATAGACAATGATATGTGTGTAATACAATTATCAGTATGACATAAACAGTTTTGTAGAATAACATTCAATTTAGTCTTCATGCCTTCAGTTTTTTCGTGCTAACAAGAAATTAACATCTGGATATTAACTTCTGGTTGGATCAAGGATAGGTTAGAGAAATAGCTAGCTATGCATACCTGATGTGTAAGATTAAATAAGAAATCTTGGGCTAAGTCTGACTTCTTTGTATAGCTTTTTTCCCCTTAAGAATTGTGTTTTAATGTAGCTTATAGGTGACTAAACAATCCTTCTTTTCTAAAAACCAAGGCTTCCCTTCAGTTTTCCAACCTAGTTTCTGTAAATGTTTTAGTTGAGGATATATTGCTTGTACAGTTATGGCAATTAAATATATATATATATATATATATTATATATGTATATGGAAAACTTTAAAGATGCTTCTAATTTATTTAATGACTGTTGCCTTCCTATAATTGTAATAATTTTCATCCTTAGATGGCAAGAAAAAAATTCCTTTGACTATGGTTACTACATGCAAAATAAAAGTTGGTCTTTAGTTAAATCCATTAATCAAGCATATTGCAGCAAAACTGTGAAGGACACTTCACTACTGATGTACAAGCTTTGCTGAATTTGTATCACTTTCCTGCAGTAATGGAGAGCTTTTCATTATACCGTATGAAAATAAAAATTGCTTAATGGAACAATTTCCCCATTCTTTTCTACTTACATTGGGAAAGACTGTATTTTCAAAACTCTTTCAATTTTGCTGCATTTGAAAAGAGGTCTGGGCACAGAGTTGAAACTTTTCAAGGGATAATATGAATGGAGTATCATAACCAACTCTCAAAATAACACTATGAAACAATATTGAACTATACCCCTAACAGGAAAATACATGTCTTTCAAATTTGAGCAACAATTTAAGTTTTGATTTGTTTCATGTTTGCATTGATCTTCCTTCCTTTTTTCCTTCCCTCCTTCCTTCTCTCCTTCTTCCCTTTTCTTTCCCTTCTTCCCTTCTTCTTCCCTCTTCCCTTTTTCCCTCCCTTACCCACACTGCCTTCCTTCCTATCTTCTTTCCTTCCTCTTTGCCTTTTTCTGTTTGGTTTTTCTTTTTTAACCACAAACTCCACATTTCCTACTTGGAAATTTTTTTTTTTCTGGATGCTGTACTCACTATTTTGACATTTAATGTCATCAGTCATTGTATCCATTTTAGAATAATAGTTATCTAAATACGCCTAATCAAGATGTGTTTGATAATTTTCATATAGGCTATAGCTTTTCTTAAGAAGTAATGGCCTAGCATTAAGAAATAAAATATGCTTGACTTTGGTAGATTTATTCAAATGATGTTGTTTAATGAACAACCACAGAATTTTGGAACTAGAAGACATTTTTACAAATCATCTTTGGAAACTGCCTTAACCTTTCAGGGCTCACTGATATCACCTATAAAATGGGACCATAAACTTAATACCTCATCAGGTTAGTGCTATGCTTAATGAGATAAATCATGGAAATTGCCTTGCCAAGCACCTAAAACAAAACAAAGATGTATTATTTTTATTATAGTATTATTATTATATAACTGTATTATTATTATACAATTATTAGTAGTATAAATATCATATTACTATTAAATTAGCTAATCTAGTCTTCCCATTTTTCAAATAAGGAGATGTAACATACTGAGGTTACACCCACTGATGTACCTGTGATGTCTGACTCCACAAACTGATCCTCACCAACAAGCTGTGTTCCCTAGTGTAGGACAAAGACAGGCATTTGCAAGCTGGTTATTTCCCAATGGTGTTATATTTGAGAGGCTGGAAAGGAAGCCTACAACTGTTTCCTACCATGTGACATTTTAAAACTCACTTTTAAGAGAAAGAAAATAAATAGGATAGAGCATAGATCCCCGTCTCCCCACCCCCACACCCCCCACCCCGGGACAAGGAGACTAGTCACTCTGTTTCTTGACCCTACTCCAGTTTCTGTTCTTGGCTGTCATAAACTGTACTTCCTGTCCTTGGGTTATGTGCACTATCCCTACAATCACAATAAATGCTCACTCTTCCTCGAGCAGGTTTGAGACAAT